ACAGACAGACAGACAGACAGGCCTTAACATGCTCGAGGATGCAGCTACCTCAAGCTGGGAAACCTGGGACCCCGTGAGACAGATGTAGAAAAAGAAAAAGCATAGGGAAAACAGATAAATCAATTTCACACATCAAGGAACACTGCTGTGTAGTCTACCACTGCACCTCTGTGCAAAATATAAATATAGCTCGGATAAAAGAAGATGAACAGAGCTCCAGACTAACCAGCCCGTCACCCAGGGGAAGATAAATACCACTGATTGTACAAGAAGTATTTGGGACATATTCAGGATGATATAACAAAGCCTTAGTTACTATTATATGGCAACGGTAGAGAAGAAAAGGTGGGAGTGGGACCTCTTTTTAAATTTGAGCAGCTTTCTACGAGCAGTACAAAGCCCAGTATTCACCCTGCTACAATTGTTTATTTTGCTTTCATATTTTTTTATATATTTTAAATAATTGGTACACAGTTACAAACAGAAAACAAAATAATTAACTACATAAGTATTCATCCCATTAAGTCAAAGTGGCCCCTTTGGCAGCACTTACATCCTTATGATAGGTCTGTATCAGCTTTGTGCATCTGAACATCTCAACAGGGCAGTTTTTCACCATTCTTCAATATGAAACTCTGAACCTGTCAGGCAACATGGGGACTATGACTGAACTCAGTCTCAAAATCTGGATATGGCTGAGGCCTGTTTTTAGGCTCGAGCCCTGCAGGACATTAACATAGCTCCTTGTAAAGTGATGCCTTTGGCTTGATGTATGGAGTCCAGGGCATAAAATTAGCAACAGTCAAAAGCTGGTAAAATATACAAGTTGCTGGTAGATCTGATTCGTTCACCAGCCCAAAAAACGAAAAGGTAATCTTTTGAGTGGGTGACCACCCTGACCATAAACCCCCCAGCTGCACTTCTCAAGGATTTCTCTCCGTTTTGCTATTTTCATTTGACCCTTCAAGTCTGGCAAACACGAGGAGTGATCGTTTATGTTTCCCCTCATTGGTGCTTGGTATATTCTTTCATCTCCATGTTGTTGTGATGTAGTTTTTAACCAGGAAATCGACACCAGTGGTTGGACCATTGGTGACACTCTGATTACATTTATCTCTGGTCAACTATACACAGTACAGTTTTATAATTCAATGACTACTCAAAACATTAAACTCATGAACGACCCCTGCTAAGTTCAGCAGTTTAATGAATGGTGGACTGGGCTGCTGAGGACGTGTCAGTACTGTGGCTGAACGGATCCAGCACAGACACTGATGGAGAACTGCAGCTGACTGTAGACTTTACTCTGAGACAGACTTCAGTCTGGTTGGACGTCTGATAATACGAACTACTATCAGCTACTAGGCTTTTTTTTTTTTGTTCTGCTGCCGTTTTGACTCCAGCCTGAAAACACGCCATCTTGCAGCTCTTCTCTCTGTGTTAACTCACTTTGACAGTTTTCTAAATCTTCCTCTATAATTAGCACAGGCCCACAGCGAAAAGCTGGAGTAATATTTAATAAACTGCTGTGTGATTAAAACTTCTGATAGTCACCAGGAAAAGCTAGATGCAGGTAAAAAAAGTTTCAATATAGACATGACAGGCAAATCACAGAAAAGATGACAAATAGTGAAGTTAAACACTGTTTTCTATAAATTCTTTTCAATAATTAAAGAAGATCTAAAGCTATTGTAGATGTTTCATTAAACAACAGCCTGACTGTGATATGAATGTGTTTATGTGATGTACTCAACACAATGTATTCCTAAGAGAGAACAAATACTCAATGAAGTGATGGATTACGATACAACATGTCCTTGCTATGTGTTAAGATACACGGCATTCCTGTTATTAAATGTGTTGCTTACAGGACTTACATGGTAATTGGTGGTAGAGGTAACAGGAGTTTCAGTTTTTTTACTCTCTACATTTATGTGCGAACAATAACAAAGCTTATTGAGAAATGTGTGGTCATGGCAACTTGCTCTGTCACTACAGACTGTTGTTGTCTCTCTAAAAATGACCTGCTTTGTTGCTTCTTTTCTTTCCTTCACCTCGATGACAGCAATCACATTTCTTGTCTATGTGATAGTTTGAAAACTGGGTTATTGCAAAAAGTTGACAATGACCCATTTACTTAAGTGCACATAAACACTGTATGAGGCAGAGGTCCATCCCTCCTTTACTGTGGACATTTTGTTCTGGTTTTTGCAGCCTTTGTCAGATTACGACTGCTTTACATTTAAAATGGTGACACAGCTCTGTGTGTGTGTAAACGCTGAGACTATGTGCATGTTGTCACGTAATTTAATTTCTAGCCATACAAATAACTTTCTCATTTTTAAGAATAGGTCCTGAGCCTCAACACTTTTGGTACGGACTGAAAAGCATCTGCTGCGATGATAAGTTATTGCTGATTTAGTTAATTTCAAATAGTTTTTGTTTGAGGCAAAGTTAAAAGAGCAGAGTTAAGCTCGCTGTTGGGTGTGCATACAGGTGATACACAGCACACTACTGAATAAACTCAACAGTGAAGCTGTAAGAGACATGAAACCTTCAACCAGACGAGATCAGAGAAGAAATGCTGTGTAAAGTTATTCTTTTTAAATTGTGTGAAATGCTAATGCATTTGACAAGTGAGTGTCTAACAATTGGCTTATTTTGTTAAATAAGAAAAGGAAGTTCTGCAGACAGTAAATCAACAACAGAAAGTATTAATTTGGTATTTGTACCAAAAATAAAATATTGGGGCTGTATTCTCTTGAACACAGAAAACTTCATGACACCACACACACACACATATTTCAAGTGAAAAATGTGAACTGCAGGTCAAAATGCAAGTTAAGTTTTGCACAGGGAGTGATGTTATTAAGAGTGTTGTGCAGTCATGGAGGGCCATTTCCTCTGTTCATAAGAAACCCAGCTGATGGTTATAGGACTCATTAAATTTTCAGTGGGGTGATTCAAATTAATTAACTCACATTAGGATCAAGGATTACAGTCAAGCCCGTGCTATTGTATCTGGGGATAACGGGCTGTGCCTTACTGGAAAGACCATGCATCTTAGTATGTATAAATCACAGTTAAACGGTCAGAGTGCAAAGAAAACAGGTAGACAACTCCAAAAAACACTCACTTTTTCACATTGGCTTCTCCGTTGGGAATCCTCCTCAGCTTCTTCTTCTTCAGTATTTTGACAGCCCTGCGACAAAGTGTCTCTGAGTCCAGCATCTCTTTCACCTTGCCATAAGACCCCTCCCCTAGCAGATCTCCCATCAAGTACTTCCCTATCAGCTTCGCCCTCTTCCTCCGTGGCTGGTAGATCACCTCTGTAGAGTCAATGCGGTGAATGAAGGTATCCATCTCCATCAGTTCATTTTCATTCAGATAGTCAAGATGATGCAGCTCGCCGGTACTCATGACTGATAGTTCAGCAGCCACAACTTAAGCTTCCTGTGCAAAAATGTTCGCCGAATAGCTAATTCTGCCGCTGGAGGGTAATCCACTGGTAACCTTTCAGCTCTGAGCCGAGTAGTTTAATTCCACAAGATGGAATACAGATGGATTACAAAATACTGAACATGGGAGAGGGAGTAATCAGGCCTGAGAGTAGAGGGATGAGGTGAGGGATCAATCCCAATTTGTAAACATTAGGGCTCTTTTTTTAGACAAGAGGTGTGAACGGAGGTGAATAACCTGTTGGGTCCAGTGCCAAGTTAGTGCTTTATACTGTGCATTTCATACTACATCTGAGACAAGTGCAGCCGAACACAAATTGTGATTCTAAGATGTTATTTTTTTTTTTTTTCTTCGCTTAACCCTAGATCACCTCTCTGTGAATTTATTACCATACAACCTTGGGTAGAGGTAACCAGTCCTGCTTCAAGGCCACGCAGCACAGCATTTCTTTCAAAGGTCCATGCTTCATGGCATAGTTTTCCTCTGGACGCATGTGTGTGTACAGCTGGACTGGATCCGAGCAGACCTACAGCCAAACGCATGCAGAAGTGTGAGTCCAGCTCCTGGAGGTCGGCTGAGCCATCCAATGTGTCAACCCGTCCTCAGGTGTCCTCCATGCCACCGCGACTCCTACTGCCTGGTGCCTGAAAACAAGGGTCATTAAGAATATATATTTTAAATACACACATGGGTTTCGCTCGGTTAGGAGCCAAGTTAGCCCTCTGTGGTAAACAACCTGTCCAGACATCAACACTTGACCGGTTCACCTTACTGGGTTTCCATTCTGCTGAGCTCCACCGCAGACACGGAGAGACTACACTTTAACATAAGAACATATTTAACCCCGCTGCTTTAATGAAACAGAGTAGTATCCGAGTTAAGAGTAACACTTGCTCAGGTGAAAGAAAAAAAAAAAAAAAAGAAGTGTTAACTATTAGCTAGCCTGTAAGCTAACATAGCACGTCTGCTTGAATGAACTAGCGCTGCTAGCTTACCAACATTAACTCTCACTTCGTGGCTCCGTGATATTGTACACTTTCAGCCACCACTGCAGGTTTTAACCGAGACGCCTGCACTGAAACAGCGGTAACTAATGTAGTGTGGATGAAGACCACCGGTGCACGAGAGGAGGGCGACCGAAACGTCGTCATACAACCGTGGCTAACGGCGTTCGTGCAGAAGCTAGCTAGCCAAGTTTCCCTGACGTTAATATCACTTCACCTCGTTTACCGGTGGAGCGGCGGCAATAAAGCTGACGGGCGTTGCTTTCTCTGACAGCGGTGCATTATGCTCACCCAGTAGCAAAACCAACTTCAGCTGTGACATCCAGACCAGCCCCCCCGACACCGGAGAACAAGCAGAGACAGACAGCTAACGCGGGCTAGCCGGAGTAGCGGTTGGCTACCGAGCCGTTGGGATTCCAACGTAAATTACTAACGGACGTTCGTGAACGTTGGTTCCGGTTCTCACCTGCATCCAGATGAAGCTCCGTCCTGCGCTGTGTTTGCTCTCTGTGTCCGTCCTCGGTGAAGCAGATGTTGTACTCTAAACAAGATACCAATTAAATGTTCTGACTCTTCGTGGTTACTCTTGCCACTCAGGTTGTCGCCATCTTGTTTACCTCCCCCCCCAACTCGCGCTGACAGTCCACACGTTAATGCGTCAAATCAGAGTGTCACCCAGTGCTGACAATAAAGTTTCAACAGTAACTTATTCATCCTTTAAAATGTCATTAAGTAGTCTGATCCTATTGATATTTAAAAGGAATATTCTCAGGACACTACTAACTATTGGAGGACTTCTTCCAAAATGTGTTTATATTTACATTTATTATAACACTGATCACAATTAGCACTAAAATTATGATAAAGGTATATTTATTTGAGCTGATCACATACCCTCCCCTTACCTAATAACCCCCCACACCACTTTGAACTACACTGGCCCTTGTTCCAGCCTCTCAAATGTGAAGATGTGCTGCTTCTCTTGATTATTTTTTAGCTTTTGGATTGACAAAACATAAAGTTGAATCCTTCACCTTAAGCTTTAGGAACACGCAACAATTTTCTGTGATTTTATGGACCAGACGATTTAATGGATAATGAAAATAATCATTAGCTGCACCCCACTATCCAACTTAAAAGCTGCCCCAAATCCATTAGCCTATCATGGACTCGGTACAGCCTTTGCTGGCTTAAGTTGTCTCTGACTGATGCTGTGGCCAACACCAGAGTGGCTCTTGCTTAGCTGGGATTTCGAAGTTATATTTATCCTGTGTAAACCCCCTTGGGGAATGGCAAACTGAAGGTCTGATTTCACTGATCTGTCACCCTCCTCACCACTGACTGCTTGAGCCTGGTCAACTCAGTGACTCATTGATTTCGTTTAAAGAAATTAATACTGATGGCTGTTATCAACATGATTATGATCTAGGAATACCTGCACAGTGTATCATAAACAAGGTGAGTTTATCTAAGCCCCTACTTATTTGCTAATAAACAGTGAATAAACACGCAAGTACAGTACGTATAAGACATACATTTCAGTAAGTGGCCATGTTTTATTGTGAATACTGACACATGTAATTAATGGAAGAAATAATGAGTTGTAGCACAGTGAGGAAATTACTAAATACAATTATTATACAGAGGATTGGGTACCAATACAGAACTGTGTTATTTAGTGGGCAATGCAAATTCAAGTCGAGCTTTGACTGGGAACAAAATGGCAACACAAACTGAAGACTGAAATCACTATGGAAGTCAGGTGATGTAGGTCTATATATTTTAAGCTCTTACAGTATTAAATTGAAACGTAACAAAACAGGTGAACAATTCTTTAAAGAAAAAACAAGTTTTTTAATCCAAATGAAACCTAAGAAGTAATGGAGAATCTAACAATTTTTCTACCAGTTCCACACACAGCTCAAATTTTAAAATTTCTATTGTGCAACAGTGTCCATTTCACGACCGAGCAGAGCTGTGGCAGCTGCAAAAAACAGCTTTTAAGTTAGGATAAACAAGAAGCAAGTATAAACAAAAACAGTCTTCTAGATCAGTAATACGGTCTCCGTGGATTATTCTGTGGAAACAAAAAACAAACACTAGATTAAAATATTATGGCAAAGGAAAACAATGTGGATGGATTTCTACATGCTGTTACACATCAGCTAACATGAACAGGTTACAATGAATTGGTGCATATTTACAGAATATTGTGACAATGAACAGTAAACAATAGGAAGCAGAGGTTACCAGTGGGTTGGGCCTGAAACGGTAAGCAAGCATCATCCTCTTTCTAAAAGCATCATATTCATCGTCATTTTTTGTGAGCATGGCTGGACGGTCAACCCCAAACCCTGCTCCGTTCATAGCGGTGGTTCCCCTAGAGCAGGACAGAGAACACTCAAAATGAGTTTCAATTTTCATATATATTTCACATTTGGCTAAATGGATACAATACTTTGGTGCCATTTAACCCGAATATTTATTTTATAAATGTTTTTAAATGGCAAATAATAGAAATAACCTCCTTACCATTGTCATCACACTTACCTACCTGAGCAGCGCAACGGCTACGGTACTAAACATCTGCATCTGCCACATGCGCTACATTTACACTGCCAGCATGTCAGCTGCGTGGCTGCTGCCAGCCCTATCTTTCTATACTGAGTTTGTCTAAATATATACAAGAAAAGCCTTGTTAACATATGAATGGAGTCTGTCCACCGAAATGCCAGAGAGCTTTTAATTTGAAACAGATATAGGAGGTGTATGTCTGTGCCATATTGTACATACAGACATTTAAACTGTAGTGAAAGGTGTATATGTTTCTGGTATATTGTCAATATGACTATGAACACACACTTTTCACTGTCTATGTTTGCTAGGAACCGCACGTGGTTCGTTGAAAAATCAGGTGAGACCTCGACTCTTTAGAGAAGAGTCGTTGCAGCTGCAGCTGAGACGCTTTTATGCCGCAAATTGCAGAAAAAAAAGTGCAGAAATAAAAAGCATGACGTTCCGCCACACATGCCGTTCAGGTTGGCAGTGTGAACGAGCCGTCAGGAGATCAATGACTGTGATGGGTTTGTGTGCTGTAAAAAAGATGTGTTTATTCCAGTCTGGAACAACTCTACTGTTAATGCATGTGTATCTTCAAAAACATATGAAAACGTATGATAAGAAAGGGTTATGGTGTAGAACTGGAATGATTAATGAAATATTCTTAATAAAAACAATTGGTGGAAAACATTAGTTTCTCTTTTCATTTGTGTCAGGTAATTTCAGAGCCAACAAAGTATTAGTGTCTATCTCTGTTATTATCTATTATTATCTATTAAATACAGTTTAATTTGGTGTGAGGGGCAGATAAGTGGTATTGTACAAACATCTAGTTTTTATGGCTCAAATTTGTACTTATCTATAGAGGTATACAGGCAGGTAACCTCTTATCATAAACTAATCTAATGCCATTGATACATACATAGAAGAAAAAAGTTTTTGTTTTTACATTTACTGCTAAATGTATTGAAGATGTACTCACTTGTTGACAGGAGCCTTGATTCCCTGTCCGTCACTGCCGAGGCCTTCACCCTCTTTCCAGCCCATCTTCATGAGCATTCGGAAACCTAAATTCTCCACCGTCAACTTAAACTCTTTGTATTCTGAGAGGTCTGGGTCGCGGCCCTCCTGTAAGTCAAAAAGTCTAAAATTATACATTCATGCCATACACTCTGAAGTCTTGCACCATTTTATTGTCTCCAATATT